AACTGTAATAACATAAACAATAAAAAAACTAGTCACATTTTATGTACTTTCCTATATGCATGACATAGTTGACAATTTTTTTTTAATTTTAATGAGATGGATACATATGTGCTGTTATAGAAAGAGCTCCAAGAGATATTAAGTGAAAAAAGCAAAACTATATGTGTAGCATAATGGTATACGCATAAAGATTTTTTTTTGACCCTGACCAGTGTGGCTCAGTTGGTTGGATGTCATCCCACAAAGCAAAAGATTGCCAGTTTGATTCCTGGTCAGGGCACATGACTAAGCTGAGGGTTCCATCCCTGGTAGGGGCATGTATTAAGAAGGCAACCAATGTTTCTCGTTTCACATCGATGTTTCTCTACTCCTCTTTCTCCCTCCCTTACCCTCTCTCTAAAAATAAATAACTGAAATATTAATAACAAAAAGCAAAAAAACCCTACCCTGGCTAGTGTGGCTCAGTGGATTAAGCACCGGACTGTGAACCAAAAGGTTGCCGGTTCAATCCCCAGTCAGGGCACATGCCTGGACTGGGGTGGGGAGGGCCTGGAAGGGCGGGGTAGGGGGTGGTGGTGTGGAGGCCTGTGAGAGGCAACCAATTGATGTCTCTCTCACACACATCAACACATTAATGTTTCTCTCCCTCTCTTTCTCCCTCCCTTCCCCCTCTCTAAAAATAAATACAATCTTTAAAAAAAAAACGAATTTTTTCCTGAAACAATACAAAAGAAATGCATGCTGACTTAAGTATACCTTTTCATTGTATACCTTTCTATACTGTTTTGTTTTCAAACAGTATTTATTCTGTTTTGATTTTTCTAACATGTATATAACTTTTCAACATATCTGTGTGTGGTAGAATTGATGGGCTGTTTTTTTTTTATACTTTTACACTTTAAAAAAACTATTTTCACAAAAATCCTAATTAAAAACTGATGAGGAAATTAAAAAAAAAAAAATACCCAACAGAGGTATGAAAGAATTATCAATCTTGCTAATTATTAAAAACATACAACTTTTTTCATTAATGAAATAGGGAAAAATTTAAAGAGTGAAACAGTCTTAGCAAGGGGACAGACAAGGAAAATACTGCTAATAAGAATATAAATAAGATTATATAAACTAGATTGTGAAGGTTCTGATAAAGTACATGATTAAAATTCTAAATTGATCTTGTAGGTATTATGGTCATAAATTTTTAAACAATCAAGTACAAAGATCTAAAATCTGAATTCTTTAAAAGACAGTTAGAGTGAGCTAAGTGATACATAGAAAGAAAAAGCTGAAGGCAGAGTACCAAGTTCAGAGTCTATTGCAAGAATTCAAATAACAGAGTTAAGAAAAGAAGTGAAGCAACAAGAATAAAAAAATACCTAGGAATAAACTTAACAAAGGATGTGAAAAACCAATAACACTGAAAACTACATCAGGAGAAACTGAAGACACCAAGAAATGAAAAGACATTCCATGGTCATAGATTGGAAGAATCAACATAATTAAAATGGCATACTACCCAAGGCCACATACAGATTCGATGCAATCCCTATCAAAATCCCAGTGGCATTTCTCAAACAAATAGAATTAAAAAATTATCAAATTTGTAAGAAACCACAAAAGACCCCAAATAGCCAAGACAATCCTTACAAAAAAGAACAAAGTGGAAAGTATCACACTCCTGACTTCTAATTATACTAAAAAGCTACAATAACCGAAACAAAATGGTATTGGCAGAAAAACAGATACACAGACCAATGAAACAGAATTGAGAGCCCAGAAATAAACCCACGTGAAATGGGCAACTAATTTTTTAAAAAGGAGCCCAAAACATACACAATGAAGAAAAAAATAAGAAAAATTGTAATACCTTGACTAGGTATTCATTATACTTAAGAAATTACGATTCCCAGTCAGGGCACATGCCTGGGTTGCAGACCACAGCCCTCAGCAACCACACATTGATTTTTCTCTCTCTCTCTCCTCCCCTCCCTCCCTCCCCTCTCTAAAAATAAATAAAATATTTTTAAAAAAGAAATTAAAAAAGACAATTAAATACTTCAAAAAAAAGAAAGCCTCTTCAATAAATGGTGCTGAAAAAATTGAAAAGCTACATGCAAAAAGGTGAAACTACACTGCTATCTGACACCCTATACAAAAAATTAACTCAAAATGATCAATAAACTAAATATAAGACCTCAAACAATTAAAAACCTAGAAGAAAACATAGGTACTAAACTTATAAACCTTGGTCTCAGAGAGGATTTTATAAATTTGACTCCAAAAGAAAGTAAAAGCAAAAATAAATGAATAGGACTATTTTAAACTAAACGGCTTCTACACAGCAAAAGAAACCAACAACAAATCAAAAAGAAAACCAACCAAATGGGAGAAGATATTTGCAAACAATACTTCCAATAAGGGGCTAACATACAAAATATATAAAGAACTTACACAATGCAACAGAAAAACAAAATTAAAATAAGGGCCAAGGACCTGAACAGATTTTTTGCAACAGCCAACGAACACATGAAAAGATGCTCAACTTCACTAGCTATAAGGAAAATACAAATCAAAACCACAATGTGGTACCACTTGTCAGAATGCCTATTATCAACAAGACAAGAAATAACAAGTATTGGAGAGGATATGAAGAAAAAGAAATCCTCATACACTGCTGGCAGGAATGTAATCTGGTACAGTCACCATACAATATGGAGGGTCCTTGAAAATTGAGAATATAGCTACCATATGACCCAGCAATCCCTCTTCTGAGTATGTACCCCCAAAATTTGAAAACATTTATTCATAAAGATGTGTGTACCCCAATGTTCACTGTAGCATTATTCACAGTAGCCAAGACATGGAAACAACCCAAGTGTCCTTCAATGGATACGTGGATAAAGACATGGTATGTAACTATTCAGCCATTAAAAAAAAAGATGAAGCACTGCCATTTGAGATGACACAGATGGACCTTGAGAGTATAGGGACAGCACCAGGGCCTGGGTCCCAGATCCCAAGGACACCAGGAGGCCAGAAGAAATACCCAAAAAGCCCACCACCCCTTCAATCCCTGCTTGAAAAATATTGCAGAATTTTATTTCCCTTCTAACCGGTTCCTTCTCCAACCCTCATGTGGAAAATTTCCACTCTCCATTCAAAGTTTGTGTGAGCCCTCCCCTCCCTCACCAATATAAGCCTCCCCCTCAAGCTATTTGGAGAGCAGCCTGAAACCTTGTTTCTCTAAGGACTGTCTCCGTTGTGCTCAAGCATAAGCTTAAGAAAATCTGTCTGAAAATTTCTCTGGGGTTTCCTCTTGATTTCTATCTTGCAAAACCCAAACACCCTAATACCAATAACAGCGTAAGTCTGAAAAAGAAAAGCAGCACATGGTTTCATTCATTTGTGGGACATAAAACAAAAACAAGCAAATGAATGAACAAACCAAACAAACAAACAAAAAGCAGCTCTTGACACAGACAACAGTATGGTGGCTACCAGAGAGGAATGGGGGAAGGCGGTGGTTAAAGAGGATAAAGAAGGTCAAATATATGGTGACAGAAGGAGACTAAACGCTGGGTGATAAACACACAACACAATATACAGATGATGTATTATAATATTGTACACTTGAAACATATATGTTCTTATTAACCAATGTCACCCCATAATTTTTTTTTAAAGAACTGGAAATGAAAGAAGACAGATCTGTGTGTCACTTAGGAGGTAAAAACTAAAGGATGTGGTGAATGATTAGGTATAAAAGATGAGAAAGAGGAAAAAGTTAAAGATAATTCTGAGCTTTGTAACTAGAGACAAATGTGTAATTGTACCATCCAATGAAGTAGAAGATAAAGGAAAAGGTAAGTTGGAGGGAAAAAAATGATTTGATTTACTGCCTTATTGGATGTGACCTACAAGGTGGAAATCTGCAATAAACAAATGGAAATAGGAAACAGAAAAAAGACATTAAATAGAACACGATTCAATAAAGCCTTCTACAGTCAACAGATGAATGGATAAAGAAGAAGTGGTATACACCCTAACCAGGTGGCTCAGTTGGCTAGAGCGTCATACCACACACCAAGAGGCCGCAGTTCGATCCCCCGTCGAGGTGTGTACAGGAGGCAACCAGTTGATGTTTCTCTCTCCCACCAATGTTCTCTCCCACCCCCATTCCTCTCTCTCTAAAATCAATAAAAACATATTCTCAGGTGAGGATTAAAAAAATAAGAAAAAGATGTGATATATACATAAAATATTATTCAGCAATAAATAATGAAATCTTTCCATTTGAGACAACATGGATGGACCTAAAGGGTATTATGCTAAGTGAAATAAGTCAGAGAGACAAACACCGTATTTCACTCATGTGAAATCTAAAGAAACAAAACAAAAAACAAGAATAAACAAAGCAGCAACAGACCCATAAATATACAAAACCTTCAGATAACTGACAAAGGGAGGAATAGGAGGAGATGGGCACTAAAAAAGGTTTCTACAATGAGGAAAATGTTCCACTGTTTCATACAGCAGATACTAGACTCATGTGGTTTTCATCACTTGAAATGTAACTAAAACAACATCGGAACTGATTTTTACCTTTATTTAACTTTAATTTAAATAGCTACAGGTGGCTAGTTGCTACCACATTGGACAGAGTATATCTAAAGAGTTAAAGAGTATTTACATCTCCCTTCTCTCATTCTCCAGACACATGAAAATTAAGATTTACATTTGATGTCGATTATTTAGGTAGTTTTAAAATATCATCTTGGGTTAATAATATTACAAAACTGAGGAACCATGGTCCATTCTCAGTCAAACATTATGATTACTTTCTTTTACACAATTCTCAATTCCATTTACAAATCAAAATGAAGCTGAGTAAAAATTGCATGAACTGGCAAGGTAGCATTAAGGTTTAGTTGCAACACACACCAGTCTTGAATACTAAGGCCTAGTATGAGACCTAGAGTCCCACTCTTTAAAATACTGACCTCTCCATCACTATCAGATATCACAATGAATGCATCCTCAGGTTTACGCTTCCTCTTCACGGTGACCGAACTGGCAGTTTCTGCCTCTTTATTCTCCAGGTTCCGAGCTTCAGAGGCTTCTCTAACTTTTTTCTTTCTCCGTGGCATCCTTCTTTCTGAAATACAAGGACAAATAACTCACTCAGAGTATACGTTTTCCAGATGCTATTTGTAATTTACACATATAAAAGAAAAAGATATCCACCTAACAGAAGTAAAACTGGATTTCTGAACTTTTCCACTTTTCTGATGAAATTTCTATAGTAACAAAACAATAATCTGTCCTAGTTCCTTAAACATTTAGTTAAATAATTGATTTTCTTGACTGTAAACTATCAAAACTATCATCATTTGGAGATGATATAATTTTGTAATTTAAAGAAAAGGAATACACACAAAAAATTGTAACTAATGAACAAATCCAGCAAGATTACACGATATAGGGTCAATACACAAAAATCACTCATACTGCTATCCACTAGCAATAAACAACCCAAAAATTTTAATTTCTAAAATGAAATCTAAAATTTTAATTTCTAAATGAAATCTAATATTTTAATTTCTAATAGTTTAGGAATAAATTTAACAAAGGAAGCAGAAGATTTGCAAAATACCACTGAAAGAAATTAAAGAATGTCCTGGCTGGGTAGATTAGTTGGTTGCTGTACACCAAAAAGCTGCAGGTTTGATCCCCAATCAGGGCACATACCTAGGCTGTAGGTTCACTCTCCAGTCTGGATGTGTAAAGCAGGCAACCCATCAATATTTCTCTCTCACAATCAATGTTTTTTTTCTCTCTCTCCCCCTCTTCTCTCTCTAAAATCAATAAACAGCCCTGGCTGCATGGCTCAGTGGATTCAGTGCCAGCCTGCAAACCAAAGGGTCATCAGTTCAATTCTCAGTCAGGACACATGCCTGGATTGCAGGCCAGGTCCCCAGTTCAGGGCTCTCAAGAGGCAACCACACACTGATGTTTCTCTCCCTCTCTTTCTCCCTTCCTTTCTCCCTCTGTCCCCCTCTCTCTAAAAATAAATAAATAAAATCTTTAAAAAAATAAAATCAATAAACATCCTTGGGTGAGAACTAAAACAATTTTTTAATTTAAAAAAATTAAAGAAGATATAAGTGCAAAGATATCTACTGTTCATGAATTGGAAGACTTGATACTGTTAAGACAATAATCCCCAAATTGCTCTAAAGGTACAACATAAATCCTAATAAAATCTGTGTTAACATTTTTGTGGAAATAGACAAGCTTATCCTAAAATTCACATGGGAACAGAAGAGTCCCAGAACAGCCAAACCAATCTTAAAATAACAGAACAAATTTGAAGGACTCAGACATCTCAATTTCAACAAGGGTGCTAAGATAATTCAATGGGAAAAGTATAGCCTTTTCAACAAATGTAGATATCCCATGTAAAAGAATGAAATTGGACCTCTATCTAACACATACAAAAAGTTGTTAAGAAATGGATTTAGGTTCTTAAGTGAAACACAGCATAAAAACTTTGGGATCTTAAATAGGTAATGGTTTGTTAAATGTATGGCATCAAAAGCATAAGCAATCCTGGCTAAGCTGACTGGAGTGTCAGTCATCCCATACACCAAAAGGTTGCAGGTTCGATCCAACCCCCAGTTAGGGTGCCTATGGGGGGCAACCAATCCATGTTTCCCTCTCTCTCCCTCACTCTGTCTTTCCCTTCCTCTCTAAAATCAGTAAAAAACACATTCTCAGGTGAGAATTTTTTTAAAAAGCATAAGCAACAAAAGGCAGAATAAACCAGGCTTCATTTAAATCAAAAACCTTTGTGCTTTAAATCATAATATCAAGAAATTGAAAGAAAAAAAGAATGGAAGAAATATTTGTAAATCATCTATGTAATAAAGTAATTGTAGCTGAAATACATAAAGAATTCTTATAACTCAATGGTAAAGAGGCAAATAAACCAACATAAAAATGGGCAGAAAGCCCCAATCCAGTGTAGTATGGCCCAGTTGGGCATTGTCCCACAAAGCAAACGGTTGCTGGTTTGATTCCTGGTCAGGGGACGTGCCTGGGTTGCAGGTTCACTCACCAGTTCGGGTGCATACAAGAGGCAACTGATGGAAACACTCATGTTTTTCTCCTTCCCTTTCCCTCTCTCTAAAAATAAATAAATAAAATCTATTTTTAAAAAAGATCAGCAAAGAGCCCCAGCTGGTGTGGCTCTGCTGGTTGAGAGTCATCTCCCAAGCCAAAAGAAAGGTCGTAGTTTGATTCCCCCCAGTAGGGGCACAGGCCTGGGCTGCGGTTTGGTCCCAGGTTGGGACACATAGGGTAGGCAACTGATCTCTCACATCGATGTTTTTCTCCTTCTCCCTCCCTCCCCCTCTCTCTAAAATAAAAAATAATAATAATAATTTTTTAAATGGGCAAAGAATCTGAATATACATCTCTCCAAAGAAGATACACAAATGGCCAGTAAGTATATGAAAAGATACTCAACATTGTCAGTCATTAGGAAAATGCAAGGTCCACTATGATGGCTGTCAAAAAAAGGGAAAATAGCCCTGGCTAGCATAGCTCAGTGGATTGAGCGCAGGCTGTGAACCAAAGCATCGCATGTTTGATTCCCAGTTGGGGCACATGCCTGGGTTGCAGGCCACGGCCCCCAGCAACCGCACATTGATGTTTTTCTCTCTCTCTTTTTCCCTCCCTTCCCTCTCTAAAAATAAATAAATAAAATCTTTAAAAATAAAAAAAGTTAAAAAAAGGAAAATAACACTTGTTGATGAGGATATAGAGAAACTTGAACCCTAGCACACTGTTGATGGGAACATTAAATGGTGCAGCTGCTGTAAGTATAAAAAAAAAATGAAATAGTGATACATGCTATAACATGTATGAACTTTGAAAACTACAGGGTCCAGCACAAATAAGGCCCCTTTTTTTACTACATAAAAATCTTTTATTACAAAATCATAAGCATGTAATTCTGTAACATAACAACATCACACTCAAGCACACCATATGACAATTTAGGTGAAATGTTTCAAATCGCTGCCCATCTTGTGTGAGACATTTACGTACCCTACCAACCACACTCAATGGCGTTACTTTTGCTGGACCCTGTATGTTAAGTGAATGAACTAATGACAAAAGCCCAAATCTGTATAATCATTTGTATGAATCATTTACATGAAACATCCAAAATAGGCAAATCTAATCTATAGACAAAAAAGCAGATTAAAATTACTAGGGGATGGAAGAGAGGGAAATGTGGAGTGAGTGCTTAATGGCTACAAGATTTCTTTTTGGGGTGATGAAAAAGTTCTGAAATTAGAAAGTGGTAATAGCTGCACAACATGCTGAATGTACTAAAAGCCACAAAATTGTACATTTTAAAATGATTAAAATGTTGGGTGTTATGTTTTGTGAATTTTATCTAAATTTAAAAAAAAATACTTCCCCAGATGATTTTATTTTATAACCAGAGCTTAGTCACTGATTTAAATAGACCAACCTTAACTGTGTTACAAACTTCTCAAACAGTTTATGATGGTTGTTACATCTTATCAAAAGGAATCTATACAATCCTACCATTAAGGAAGGACAATAATGTAGCCAGATGCTTCCATTCTGAAGTCCTTCAAGAAATCATTTCCCATCATAAAACAGAAGCATAAACACAAATAAATATCTTTTCTATTTTTTTATTTTTTATTCAAGTACAGTTGGTATTCATTATACTGGTTATATTAGTCTCAGATGTACAATATAGTAACGTGACATTTTCATACCCTGCAATGTGATCAGCCCCCTAATTCTACTTATAATCTGTCACCATGCAAACTTATCACAATATTGTTGACTATGTTCCCCTTACTCTTTCCACCTGTGACCTCACCCCCTCCCTTCTGGTCACCATCCCTTTGGTCTCTGTTTCTATGAGTGTGTTTTCTCATTTGTTTGTTCATTTTTAGAGAGAGGGCAAGGGAGGGAAAAGAGAAGGAGAGAAACCAACTGGTTGCCTCTTGCATGCATCCTGATAAGGGGACCAAACCCGAAACCCAGACATGTGCCCTGACTATAAACTGAACCAGCGACCTTTCGTTCCACAGGCTGGCACTCAGTCCACTGAGCCACACCAGTCAGGGCTCAAAGTGGGTTTTCAAAGAATCATAGCAGATAAGGGATTGATAAGAAGCACTATATGGAGGCACCCCACAGGTATGGATTACAAAACTGCAGCACTTCCTGAGATGTAGCCACACTGTTCACAAAGTAAATTCTAAGAGTAAAAAAGGTCACTGCTCAGCCAATTTGAACAAGCCAGAATATAATTCAAAGACTATTCATTTCAGTTTTTGCTTTTCAAAATGAAGAACTCACTAAAATAATGGCGTATCTTCAATTACTTGCACTGAGACTACAGAATGAATTACCTCTAAGTGCTTGCAAAGGAGGAGCAGAGTCTGGATACCAACAGCCTCTTCATAACCATGACAGTAGGGAATACAATGATGACTCGGAAAAAATGCATAAGTAAGAAAGATGACCCAGTAATGACACTTTTTATTTCACAGATAGCATTTTGGTAGTGTCACTGAAAATCTCCAATTTGGAATGTTATCTGTCTTTTTCTTTCAGCACATCCATCATCTTGATCTATCTGAAGAAAAATCACTGACAAAATAATTTAGAATCTTAACACTCTACCTGCCAAATCTGTCAAAACTGCTTTGAAAGCTTGGGGGTATACAGAACCTTAACAACAATAGTTTATAAATGGTTGACTCTTACCCCTATATAAGTCGCTATGCAAAAAATTTGGTACCAGGCTTTTTATCGCCTGACCACATCAGCCTGGCTGTTTCTCAAATTTAAAAATGAAAAGTAAATACACACCTACACTTACCTACACCCAGACACACACACCCCTGTTCATGCTCAACCTCAGCTTACAACAAATGTGTAAAAAGAAAAGCAAAACATGTTTTGAGTAACAATTAAATTGTGATTTTTTTTTAGATTTTTTAAATTTATTTTTAGAAGGGGTGGGAGGAGAGGGAGAGAAACATCAATACGTGGTTGCCTCTCGCACACCCCCTACTGAGGGCTCCGCCGGCAACCCAGGCATGTGCCCTGACTGGGAATCAAACCCCCGAGCCTTTCCTTCACAGGTCGCACTCAACCCACTGAATCACACCAGCCAGGGCTCCACTGTAATTATTCACTGAGTCCTTGGGACACTACTCTAGATACCTCAAATGCATTCTAGAGGTTATTCCTCCCCATAACTCTGTGATAGGTATCATTATTTTACACTGCTTTTATTTGTAATAGTATTACATTTGTAATACTATTTTACACGTTGGGAAAGTTACTCAAAGGGGGTCAGGCTGGTGACTGACTGTTCTGAGAACCGAAGCCCGATGCGCCTGACCTAAGAAAGTCATTCTCTGACAACCACAAAGCACAGCCCGTTCCCTGGCAGGAGAAAGTGGAGAGTAAAACTTCCCCTGGTCCCGGGGCGCTACCGCCAACTCAGAACGCCACAGCGACCCTAAGCCGGCTCAACCCCTTCCAGGTGTGTCTTTGTCCGCTGCGAAGTACAGCCAGCGGTCTGCATCCGCTGGTGCAAATCGAGCACTCTTGTGCACACAGGCAAAACGCGCCAGTCCTGCTGGAGGGCACAGCGGTTCACCCATAAGGATTTCCGAGGAAAACCTTCCACCACCACCACCGCCCCCCCCCCCCCCAGCATTGCTTCCCGCTCAGACTACGGCCACTACAGGGAGGGGCACGAGGAGGCGCAGTGGGCGGCCCAGGCCGGCTCAGCTGAACCTAAACCCAGGCTTCCTCCGCCTGGGGCACCTCACAAGGCGGGCGCCTGCGGCGGGTGGGCGGGGAGCGGAGCCCTTCCGAAGACAGGACAACCACGGGAGCACTCCGAAGTGGGGCCCCGGGAGGAGGATCGCTGCACCCTTGGCGAAGAGGGCGGACCCCGCACCCAGGGGCGGAAGCCCACAGGCTCCCCGAAGGGCCCACCCCAGCTCCCGAGGCCCGCCTCAGAGTGGGGTGGGCCCTGCCAGCAAACAACGGCGGCCCATCGGGTGAAAAAGAGGCGGGAAGAGGACTGGAGGTGTGCAGAGGCGGCAGGTACTCACCGACCAGCACTGGTGTTTGGCCGAGCCCCTCCTCCGGGTGCAGGGGTCACGAGATTAGGCACCACGTCAGGACCTGGGCCGCCGGAGGACTCTCGCCTGAAGCTGGGCACCACCGGGGGGAGGAGAAGCAGCGCAGGCGCAGGCGTCACGGAGGCGAAACCAACGCACACCGCGGGGGGGGGGAGACACCGCCAGGATGTACCAACTGCGGAAGGCGAGGGGCGCCACCGCCCGAGGTGGGTCAGGTCTCCTCGAGAACACTCTGGGCCGTTGCCGGTGTTCTCGCGGTGTTTGTTGGGTTTTATTATCTGCTAGCACTGGGGGAAACCAAAGAGTAGCACGGAGCCCCCAAAACACTGCACCTGATCCTTCAAAGCTTTCTCTACCGTATCAAGCCTCCTCTGGCCCTTTTTTGGCATGTATCTAGAGTCATACTTAATTTATGTGTTCATATGACCACTTGAAAACTCTGGGAATGATAAATGTTAAAGTCTGATCATTCCAGGGGAAGGGGAAAATCTGGGAAACTCTTCAGGATGTCAGGTGAAGTGTAAAACCAGAACAAGCCCTGGCCGTCGAGCTTTAGAGCATCATCCCCATTCTGCAAAGGTTGCGGATTCGGGTTGGATCCTCAGTCAAGGCACCTACAAGAAGTAACCAATAAATGCTTGAATAATTGGAACAAATTGATGTCTCTCTGTCTCTCTCCTACTCTCTCTAAAAATAAATAAAACCACAATAGCCACTTTTGGTGAAATTTATTTTTTTATGATCTTTAAGTAGGGTGTGTTGTGGGTTTTTTTGGTGAAAATTGAAATGTGCATTTTATGACCCAGCAATTTCATGTCTAGAAAAATACAGGTGATTGCACAAAAAGACATCGTCATGTTCAAGCCTACTGCCTTGCAAAAAGTAAAAACAACAGAAATGTCTGATATGACATAGATGATGTGATATGTTCCTAAAATAAAATATCAAAACAAATAAAACTCAGTCATTTAGGTAGCAACATTTGATAGCTCATGAGTTATTGAAATAGTGTCATGACAACAAATAATGAAACACAAATTTAAAAATACACAGAATGACAGTATGTCTTGATTATGGAATATACATGTGTCTGCAGAAAATGAACTAGCCCCAACTGGTGTGGCTCAGTAGGTTGGGTGTCATCTGCAAACTCAAAGGTTGTCGGTTCGATTCCCAGCTAGGGCACATGCCTGGGTTGTGGATCAGTGCCCCAGCTGGGGGTGTGCAAGAGGCAACCAATCATTGTTTTTCTCACACATTGATGTTTCTCTCCCTCTCTTTCTCTCTTCCTTCCCCTCTCTCTAAAAACAAATACATATTTAAAAAATAAAAAATTAGCTCAGTGGATTGAGCGCTGGCCTGCGAACCAAAGGGTTTCAGGTTCAATTCCCACTCAGGGCACATGCCTGGGTTGCCAGCCAGGTGCCCAGTGTGAGGTGTGCAAGAGGCAACCACACATTGATGTTTCTCTCCTTCTCTTCCTCCCTCTAAAAATAAATAAGATTTTTAAAAAATAAATAAATAATATAAAAATTAAAAATTAAAAAATGAGCTAGATAGATAGATGAACACATACCATGATAATGATATGAGGTCAGGAGAAGGGAAGGCTGGAAGCCAGTATGGATGGGGAGAGGGAACAAACAGGACTTCATATAGATCTGTCATGATTTCTTTTTAAAAAAGAAGAAACCTAAAAATTAACATAAAATGTTAAAGTTTTGATAGTGGTACTTAACTATACATTATTCTCAGCACTTTTGTGTAACATTTAGTTCCAGAATGCCCTTTTCCTATCTCCCCAAGTTGTCTTCCTCCAAAGTCCAGCTAAACAACTTCATTTGCCTCCTCTAACTCCAGTTCATTTCTCCTGCTCACTTCCTCAGCTTCTGGGACATTCAATCACCCATTGTATAGTGCAATTATTTGCTGTATGTATCTACCTCTTCTGTAGACTTGTTAGCTTTCTGAAGGCACGATCCATGAAACCCTAGCAAGTAGCAAAGAGCCTCGCCAAAAGCAAATACTCAATACATTTTGACTGAATTGAATTGTGAGGAAGGGAAACCAGAAAAGGTTTCAATGCAGGGCCAGAAAGGGATGCAATCATCGCAGTTGTCATTAGCAGCCATCTGACAACACAGAGGGGAGCCAGTGTGAGGCAGGCAGTCTCTAAGGTGGCTCCCAATTGTGACGGAATGAAATGCTCAGTCTCTGTGACTCTGTCTTAATTCTAGCCTGCATCTTTCCCATGGCCTTCAGGCCTTCAGGCAAACAACTCTTGAATATAGATATAGATACAGATATAGATATATAGATATATGTATATATGATTAACATACATATATGGAATTCTACTGGAAAATTCAGTTTTTGGAAGAACGGCTCCTTGCCAAAAAGGTACCTCTGCTGAAAAGGTAACTCAGGCCCTGGCTGGTGTAGCTCAGTGGATTGAGTGTGGGTTGTGAACCAAAGTGTCGCAGGTTCGATTCCCAATCAGGCCACATACCTGGGTTGCAGATCACGGCCCCCAGCAACTGCACATTGATGTTTCTCTCTCTCTCTCTTTCTCCCTCCCTTCCCTTTCTAAAAATAAATAAATAAAATCTTTAAAAAAAAAAGAAAAGTTAACTCAGATCAGCAGGGGCTGAGAGACCCACACCAGGAACAAAGAGATTTCAAGATTTCTCACTCTTCCTCGGATTCCTGCAGGTGCCCAGATGTCTAGGTCATCAGTCACCTCATTCCCATCTCTTTCTCCCTTCCTTTGACATAAAAGGATCCTGAATTCTGGACTCTCTGGAGATGGATTTGAGGACCTGTAAGTGCCCCCATCTTCTCAAGCAGGCACCTTCCCCATCAATAAACAGTTCTTTACTCCAAACTCTGATGTTGTTAATGTTGGCCTTTTGAAGCATTCAGCACACAGACTTTGAACCGGTGAGTAACACAATCACCCAGCCTCCTGGCAATCACACTCTTGTGTAACCCCTTCCCTCCCCTTGAGGGCAGGATATACTTCATAACTCACTTTTTAAAAATATAATAAGGCAGACTGATGGGATGTGATTTCCACACGTAGGTTATAAAAAGACTGTGGCTTCCTTCCTGGGTACTCTTCACCTCTGGATTGGCTCAATTTGGGGGACTCCGAATGCCATGCCATAAGGCCATTGTGTGAAGAGACCCACATGTTGGAAAGGATTTCCACCCCCCCATTCTCTGCCCACCCAGTCTGACAGCTTAACCACATCCTCATAAGGAACTTTAAGTCAAGAGCAACTTTGGGCTAAGCCATGCCCAGATTCCCGACCCACAAAAACTATGTTTATGTTCTCAGCCTCTAATTTTGGGGGTAATTTTTTACATAACAAAACAGAATTAATATACTACTTAGAAAATAAAAAACTTAAAAAAAAACAGGAAATAGCAGGATGACACCTCTGATCATATATATGAGTATATATATGTGGAGATCATACCACTTCTGGTTTTTCTGTAATGTGAGATAATAAATATCCTTAATATATACATCACTTTGAGACAAATTTATGTTACCAACAGTAGACAACATCCTACTCAATATAAATCTGAATGTCCGTCAGTGCATAAATGATATATTACATAGTACGGTATATTTGTATACTGGAATACTGGAACAATTAAAAGAAATGAATAAGATCTAAATGTGATATCAAAGATATTAAAAAATTAACTTTAAAAACAAGTTGCAGAGGACTTCCAGTCAAGATGGAGGTGTAGATAGACATGCTTTGCACAACCATAAGAAGGATCACAGCTAACCTCAAAATGAAAAATACCCAGAACTGCCAGAAAATTGAATTGTGTGGAAGTCCAACAACCAAGGACTTAAAGAAGCCATATTCATCCAGATGGGTAGGAGGGGTGGATGTGGAGAGCTCGGGCCAAGAGGATGCAGTGTAGCAGCAGTGAGGCGGCTGGTGGAACAGGCAGTCCCAGATTCACATATAGTGCATGAAATCAGGAGGGATACCTCAGTAGCTCAAGATCCCAGCCCCAGGCCAGGCCACACAGCCCAGAGCTCGAGCACCAGGAAGACAAAGCCTCATAACTACTGGCTGTAAAAACCAGTTGGGGCAGTCGAAGATACTGCTGGTCTCTTGGGTGAGGCTGTTTAAAGGGCCCGCACTGTCCTAGAACAAATGCAAACCCACCCACTCTGGGAATCACCACCAGGGCAGCAGCTGGGGGGTGACAGTCACATACGAGAAGGGACTGAAGTAAATGGAAATGAGGCCAGTGCTGAGCAAGCCTCAACAGCACTGTCCTCTCTCCAACCCCTCCCCCTCCCCCACATACAGAGCCACAAAGTGGTGAAGTGGGTTGCCTTGCCCTGGTGCATACCTAAGGCTGTATGCCATACAACTTAACAGGTGTGCTAACCCAGGGAGTCAAAGCAGCCCTACCTAATATACAGAAACAAGCACAGGGAGGCTGCCAAATTGAGGAGACAAAGAAATATAGCCCAAATGAAAGAACAGAACAAAACTCCAGAAAAACAACTAAAGGAAATGGAGATAACCAATCTATCAGATGCAGAGTTCAAAACACTGGTGATCAGGATGCTCAGAGAACTCACTGAATATGGCAAAAGCATAAAGGAAGAAATGAAGGCCACCCTAAGTAAAATAAAGAAAAATCCACAGAGAAACAAGAGTTAAGGTTAAGAGTAAGGGTTAAGAGTTACTCTTAACTCCTTAAGCAAGGACCTACAACCAAGACTACTAAGCTATCATTTAGAATTAAAGGACAAATAAAGTGCTTCCCAGACAAGGTAGTTAAAGGAGTTCATCATGATCAAGTCCTTATTACATGAAATGCTAAAGAAGATTATTTAAGAAAAAAAAAAGATCAAAACTGTGAACATTAAAATGGCAACAAATTCAAAACTATCAAAAACTGAATCTAAAAGAAACTAAGCAAACCACTAAAAGCAGAACAGAATCATAGATATGGAGATTATTTGGAGGATTATCAGCTGGTAGAGGAAGAATGGGGGAAAAGGTTCAGGGATTAAAAAGGCACAATAATTGGTAGGGAAAAAA